ACGGTATTTCTTCTTTCCAGAGAGAATCTACGTCCTAGGAAGGGCTTCAAAGACTTGCGCGATGTTCTCTGAAGCTATGCCGAAAGATACTAGATTTGCCGACGATCACTGCAGCCAATTCAACTCAAAGGGCTTTGCAGCGGCTTGAAAAGTCTTCCGGTCTTCTTCTGATTCTGCGGAGTCATGTCTGGGGTTCTATTAGTTGCCGCAGCTAATCATAACTTGATCTGCAAGCTTCTGCTGTCGTTTCTGGCGTTGCTCAACCTTTTCAGAGTTCTGTTGGAGGGTGTTAAAGAATTCGGCAGTTGCTTTAACTGGTTCGCAGTAAGAATGCGGCTATGGGCGTGCAAGGTATGCTGCCTTTCTTGCACTGCACAACAAAACGGAATCTCTTCAGTTCCAAACGAAACAGAATACTGTCGATTTTCTTAGTAGGTACAGCAAGACTGGCAGTCTTGTTTCCAAGGGTTTGTCTTTCGTCAACAGTAGTTTGGGGTAAGTTAGCCTGGGAGCGAAAGTGCTCTAGAAAACTTTCTGCTTAATGTTTGTAGCCTTTCTTTGGCAACACAACCTAGCTGGCATCTTTTTCGGGCCGTCTTAAACTTTTTGTTTGTTAATAGAACAGTGTACAAGTACTCTTATCCAATTGAGGCTTCAGATATGTAATTTTCTTAGTTAGACTACACTCTTCACACTATTCCCTTACCCGGCCTCACTGCTGTCAAATTTGAGTTTTGCCCTTGGATATTCCCGTCAAGCAACATACCCGGCTGGGCACCTTAGTTCATATTGATTGGTTGTCAAAATCACTTTACCCCACGCTGTCAAATTATTCTCCTCGCCTCGTCCAAACCTACACCATTGCCATATCAACTTCTCAGCACAACTTTCATTGTCAAATGCGCAGCAAAGCTATCAAATTTCCAAATCTACTGCTGAACTGACAAGACAAAAGTGCTACTTTTACGGCTTCCATCAAAGACAATCGTCCAACTCTTTTGAGGTAAGATCGCGTCAATCTTACCCCTACTCCTCCATTCCACATCTTCATTTGAGCAACCCATTGCTATCAGCAATCCTGCGATATCATGCGCATTAGAGACTTGCGCTGATATCGCACAATCAATCCTTGTTGTTTTTGTGCTTTGAACTTGAGTCTTTAGGCGTTCGATCCTTTTACGAACGAAATCTTGCTTTCTTCTCCGCACTTTCGGCGAGCGTCATTCTCAAGCTAACAATCAATCAATGAGCAACGTTTGCACGATCAATAGATCTCTGAACGTGTTCATTGGATTCTAATTGATCTATACACTACCCCTGAATCTATTTACTCCTTCCCTTGCTGTCATATAATTTCAAGCTCCGTCGATCTTGCCTTGGCTAACCTCAATTCACTACCAATAGTATCTAGCCACTGTTTTCACCACCTCTATCTACCCTTCCGACTTCAATTTATCGCATCCCGTGTACGATCAAATCTTCGCCCACAACAAATCTCCATAACTCTGCATCATGGAGACTTATGGGAAGAAGAAGAAAAATGCTCTGATGGGCTCGTTCGCTTCTCTTAGAAACAATCAACAGATCAGAGCAAAGAAGAATAGAGCTAGCAAGAGAGGTAAGTTTATTTATTCTATTTACTCTCGCCTCAAGTATCAATCTATTAACACGGCTATACTACCCTTTCATGTTTCGATGATGTCCCACGTCTGCAACCACGCTTGGCCATCCAACCGTCCGTAGTTTGATTTGAACTCACTGTGCTTCTCAAAATTACCTTGGATGCTATCTATTTGGAAGTGAAGCTAATATAAAGCTATCAACAGAGTCAAGCACGCGCCAGTTGTCGGCTTTTCACTCTCCGGTCGGCGCTGAAGAACAGCAATCCGCCAGAGAAACCCCGAGTGAAGACAATGGTGGATCGATAGATGAGATTGCCATTAATGAGCCACACGATAATCCAGCAACCATCGAGAACACCCTACCACAATTGCCCAGTCTCAATTTCAGTGAAAATGAGATGTGTATCACCGACAAGAATACGGTCACCGATACTGACTTCTCTACTGGGACCGCCAAACCTTCATTACACTCAAGGAAGAACTCAGCGCCCCCTATTCCTAGAAAGTCGTCCAAAAGACAATTCGCGTTAAATAAGACGTCTCGCCGTAGGAGCCCAACCAAGGAGTCTCAGACTCGACGATTCCCAAGAGGACCAATTCTTCGGACATCGGGCGGTCTTGACGAGCAACCACGCTTAACTGTCAGTCCTTCTGATCCGAATGTTATTAATTCTTCTGTTGCACAGACGTTCAAGGCAATGGAAGAACTCAAGCCAGGATCGACAAATACTTTGGTCGTCGAAAAAAAGAGAAGATTAAAAGCCGGGACTTTTCTTAAGGTTAAAAATGTATTACAAGGAAGCTTTCGCCATAGAAAGAATGATAATAGCCAAGAGGATCATTTGGTTCAGCCACCATTCGTCAACTCACCAACAATCCAAGAACAACCCGATAGACACCCGGAATCTCTTAGTGGAACGGACCTGAGACTTAATGAAGGTAGTTTGGGTGATGTTTCCTTTTGTCCAAGATTGGCGAAGCTAATTCTCTCTAACAGCGCAAAATTCGAAAGAAGACTCCAAGCTGCAAAAAATTGCAGGGAATCTCAAAATCCCCAGAAAGCCACTTAACAGTGACGTAAGATCTTTCCACAGTCAGAATTCGGCACTTACAGATCCATTTACCGAGCCACCAAGTTCGGGTGAGCAAGTTATGCAACCTTCAACCTTCGGTAGCCAGATGCCTGAAATTGGATCCGCGCCCGAATACTCAAGTCTCGATCGTGCAAATCAGAAGTCTTCAGCCCACCAAAGCAACAGAGACTTCGATGACCTAGACTCACTACTTACATCTAGTCCCTTAGCCCAATCGACACCAAGATTGCGACTGGTATGTAACCATACTGATCCAGACAGAACCAGGAGAATGCACAAAGTGGATGCAGGCTCACCATCTGTTCTCGACCACAACGCATTTGCCGAAGACAGTGAGCTGTACAAGGGCATGCTGGCGGATAGTCCAGTAAAGTCCAAGGACCAGTCTCAGCCTGAGCACCTTCGCAATCTTGTTCAGCACGTTGGATTGTTCAGAGAGAAGACAGTCAATAATTTTGTCGCTGCCGTACAAACACTATCCGGATCTACAAGTGATTCAGGCTTTGCTCCTCTCGCTCGAAAGTGGAAAAAGAATCCATCTCCCAGCAAGGCAAGATTGGAAGAGCTAAGCAGGCGTCTTCCGTATTTTCCCGACCCAGAACCTATTCTCTACCGTAGCCACAAGCATAAGGATAGTAAAGATATCAACAAAGCAACTTTTGCTTCACGGGAAAAGCGTAAGACCGATGATCAAGAAAATAAGGAGCTCTTGGAAGGACTGCTTACTTCAAATAAAAACGAGCAAAGTCAAGCCTCCGAAGCGGAGGAGGAAGAGTTATCACAGAGCCCACGAGCATTAAGAAGAGTCTCTACATCTTCGCCTCTAATCAATCTCTCGTCTAGGCCAGTGTCGTTGAGCCAGTCATCCCCAACACTTGGCGTTGAAGGTTTGGAGGTAAGAGCTTTTGCTCAACCTAGAAATTTAATGGATCAAGACGACTCGATGATGGATCTGGATGAATTACAGTCAGTTCAAGAATCTTCTCCACCCCAAACATTCTACGATAATGTGGGCAATGGCGATTTGATTAAGTTCTGAGAAATTTATCTCCCTTTTGCTAACCAAGAATTTTCAGATGGGACGAAACCGTGTATGATGTTGGCATGAGACATTATTAGAACTCATCCAACTACGATTTCCTACACCTTTACTAGAATCGGACTACACTTTGTCACGATACCCTTCAATTTCCTTGCGGTTCTCTTGATTCGGAGTTGTGCTGTTATTGCATGATTAATTAGTTATACGACTGGTTTCTTTCTGCCCTTACTTAATATTTCATTTTCGACATGCAGCAGACGGCTTTGATTAGACGAGTGCTTATGCTTTTAGAGCTATCCTCTGCGTTGATCGACTTATTGCTTTTCTTATTTCATCTCAATGCCGTACTTTGCTTATATGTGTGGAGGATAATAATGGATTGTACGATACGAAAGGATGTGCCAAAGACTGAGGACGATATTTACCAGCTTGTTTTTGCCCTTTTCTGGAGTTTCTTTGGTGCTTTTTCTTATTCACATCTTGCCTGGCTGGTTGGTCAGGGTTGTGAGATAATGGTGTGGACAAATGGACAGCTCGATTTTCATATCTGGTCTGTTCAATTGGGAATGGAGATTGTATTTGAATGGATACTTTAATTTGCAGGGAAGGTGGGAGGATATGCTGGAGGATTATGAGAGACTGTGCTTCAGAATGTGGGATGAGTGCATTAGGCAGATATCGTGGTGGATATTGATGGCTTTCAAGGTGGGACTTGATCGCATAGCATCTGGTGCACAGTTGGCGATGTGTTTCTTGTCTGAGACTCCGTTGACAGTTGATATACCAAATGAAACTGGGTTTGGGAACAACAAGGATGGCTATTTGCTGACCAGTTGGACCACACTCACTTACGTACGACGACGAAAAGGCTTTGAAACAGGAAGGGTATACTTCAATACTATTTGCATTATATTGTTTTTGATTTTCATTAGGTTCGCCTTTTCATATATGGCTACTGAAATGGCATGATGTGGAACTAGGGCTTTGTCTCTCAATCCTCATGAGGGATACTTACTTGGGTTGCATCACAGTACATTGATAGGCAGAAGAGAATCAAACGTGCAATTTGCTAAACAACACAGTTGCATAATAATATAATGTGATGTGATTTGATACCAACGGGATGTTAAATCCCAACATACCAAACTCGCAAGATCCTGTTGAAGGACAAAACACTAAAAAGTCAAAAAGTCAAAAACTAGAACGCAAGGAAAACCTCCTCTCGATTACCCCCCCCTTAGTCTACAAAGTATCTCCACCCATCTCTCCGCTCATTTCCCTACTTGTGACGCCTCGTCGTCCGTTTATTTCCCCTTCTCCATTAACTTCTTCATTTGACATTTTCCCATCAACGCCGTTCAATTTTCCATTGACAATCTTCTCTCCATTTTTCATCACGTTACCAATTCCATTCCCATTCCCATTTCTCTTCTCCTCCAATCCCCGTCTGATATGAGCACTCAACCACTTTCCTTCCAAAGCTTTAGCGCTCATCTGTCCTGCTCCACTGATCTCTCCTACGCAAGAAGGAGTAGCACAGTTGCAGGAAAATGGCTGGGACATGGACCATTCGGTGGAGGGGTAGAAGAAAGTTAATTCTTGGCCTACAGTGAGGCCAGTGTGGGAGGTGAGAATGGTGCCATTTTGCACATCGAAGATCTATGGGGATGGTTCAGAGGAGGATCGGGGAGGGGGGGGAGGGGGGGAAGAGACATACGAGAGAAGGTTCACAGGAATGATTGATGTACAATAAGTCCGAATTGAGATTCAAATGTGTGTTTGTACCTGTTTGGACAGTGGCATAGGTAGCTTCTGAGGCATCGGTACATGGTGGAAATTCCTGGGATTGTGGTCAGCAATTTTACTCAAGGCTTGGATTCGGGTAGTAGTCATATTGGTGGGGGAAACAATACCGATTTTGCAAAAACAGCAAAAGGAGGAAGAGAAACTTTGGAGATGGATTTGGTGGTGTATCCATTTTCATCTTCACCGTAGATTACTTCTTGGATGTGTGGGTGAGAAGGTTGAGACCAAAAGGGTTTGACGGGTGCCATCTTTGGGGATTTGAGTGGTTCGAGGGGTTCGAGGGGTTTAGAGGGGCTTGTAAGAATTCCGGATTGGGGAATACTGAGGTTATATATGGTGGGGCTGGCTGGTTTATTGAAGGACAACTGCTTCTCTCTTTCAATCACTATGGAATGTACTGGGTAGACTTTCTTTGTAGAGAATCTGTTGTTGGATTGAATTGTGTTGTTTTCTATCACGGAGGAAGAGGGAATCGAGTCGAAGAAAGAAAGACAGAAAGGAAGATCGTAACACATGCTAATTGTCCAACTACTATACATAACAGCTTCGTCCCGAACCTCCCACTGCCACTACCACTAGCTCCAGCTTACCACACTTGATTCATCGGCCAGAAGGATCTTTTCGCTTCTGGCGTTGTTATTAATATTACATGTAACACATCCGAAGTAGGTAGTCTTCAACACTTGATCTATCCAGCAATAAACCGCCTTATGGGAAACGCGATTCCTTTACCTTTTCTGGTTAACTTACCTTATGTGAATCAACATTGCAAAGCCCTACGCAAAACACGCATGAGAAAGATGTCACGTACCCGCCTTTTCGCGGGGCCATATTCGAGATGTGAACCGAGGTATCTATGGATTACCGGTGGAGATGGAGAGTAAGGAAGGTTAATGGGGGAACATCGTGAGCTGATTTGCTTAGAGGGTGGTGAAGGGAACGAGGTAAATTTGGAGGGAATGAGGTCGAGGTGGTTAATAAGATTTACATCGTACAGATGTCCATATTTGCTAATGATGATTGATGTACTTCGTAGGTTGTATTTCCATCGAAGGAGTGGGGTCGATCATATGCCACTCGTTTCCCAAATGAAGGAGTAATAGGTTAACCTTACAGGATCACCGGTCCACCATCCATAATAACGTGTGTGCTATGTTACATAAGCACTCTCTCATCTCAATTGACGTTGGCCCAACAAACATACTTGATCTTGGCATTTTGTATAGTTACAAAGATTTCAATCGGGAACGATGGAGTATCCAAAAGGAGGAACAGCACACAACTCATCGTCTTTGTGAACATTGTCATCGAGATATACTTTGTCATCTAAAGCATCAAATGGTAGGCCCGACTACTCAATATCAATTGGCTTGATAAAATCTACGTCTACGTCATAATGAGTGACGTTATGGTGCTTCGGAGAAGAGCTCCTGTCACACGAGATGGATATTCATACAGTGTAGGTTGTCATCTGGCTGGCTTAGAAATCGGATAGATAAGTTTGATATATCTTGTTGATATCTCCCTGTTAAATCTTTTCTGATCAACTTATGGATTTTTGCTCTCGTACCTCTCGTACCTCTCATATCTCTCATATCAACAAAGTTACTGTATCCGTCTCACCGCATAAGCACCCACAACCATCATGGAAATCACAGAGGCGAGTTATCACCACTTCCCATTTCAATATTCAAAACACATCTAACCATCCACAGGTAGGAATGATAGGAGCCGGTTCCATGGGAGGAGGAATGTCACTTCTCCTCGCCGAAAAAGGAATCTCAGTCTCTATCCAAGACCCCTCCTCTTCCACCGTTGATTCCCTCATCCAATCCGCCAAAGATCAAGACATCACTTCTGGAACTCTATCCAAACATACCGAATACAAATCTTTTTGTGACTCCCTCTCTTCTCCAAAAGTCATATTCTTTTCACTACCACACGGAACGGTAGGCGATACTGTCGTCGAGGGTCTTCATCCATATCTCGAGAAAGGAGATATAATAATCGATTGCTCGAATGAGAATTGGAATAACACACAGCGGAGACAGGGAAAATTGGTCGCGCAAGGTGTGTATTACATAGGATGTGGTGTATCTGGAGGCTACCAAGCTGCCCGACGAGGACCGAGTATGTGTCCCGGAGGCCAAGAACAAGCTTTAAACATCGTCATGCCTTTACTGGAGAAAATGGCTGCGAAAGCGAAAGATGGAACACCGTGTGTAGCGAGAATTGGAGAAGGTGGTGCGGGACATTATGTGAAGATGATTCATAATGGAATTGAGCATGGAATGATGAGTGCGATTAGCGAAGCGTGGACTTTTATGAATAAACATCTAGGAATGAAATATGATGATATTGGAAAGGTGTTCGAGAAGTGGTCTACTGAAGGGGAATTAGTATGTGTTATTCTCACTCCTTTAGTCGTTAGTTTCACTTGCTAACCGAGATTAACAGAAAAACACCTTCCTCATGAAAATAGGCGCAGATATCTGCGAACAAAAAGATAAATCCGGAAACCATGTTCTAGCGGATGTTCAAGACAAAGTTGTCCAAGACATCGACGGATCAGAAGGAACCGGTATCTGGTCCAACACCCAAGCCACTTCTCTTCACGTGCCAGCCCCAACTCTCTCCGCCGCCCACTATCTCCGCGTCGTATCAGCCTATCGCGGACATAGACAACAGGTCAAAGAAGTATTTCACGATTTATTCAAACCCTCGAAAATCACACTCAAGAATGAGCAAGAGAAAGAAAGTATCATAGAGGATTTGAGAAGAGCAGTCTATACAAGCTGTTTAGCTTCTTATGTCCAAGGCATGAGTATCATCGATAAAGCCAATCGTCAGAATAAATGGAACATCGACTATAGCAACATCGTCAAGATCTGGCGCGCGGGCTGTATCATTCAAAGCGATCACATCTCTTCTCTCCTCTCTCAAACCTATACACCTTCCTCCTCTTCCACCAAATTAGAAACCCCAGATCTCCTCTACGCCTCTCCCATCGTATCCGAACTAATCTCTGGATTCGAACCTCTCCAGCGCATCGTACTCAAAAGCGTAGAACATAATGCCATCACGCCGAGTGTCTCAGCTACATTGGAGTATCTCAAATACAGCGGGAACATGGAATTGCCGACGCAGTTCTACGAGGCGGAGTTAGATTATTTTGGGAAGCACATGTTTGATAGTAAGAAGTTGGATGATGAAGTAGGGGAACCGGAGACCGGGAAGAGACATTTTGAGTGGAAGAAAGCTTAGCTTATGGCGGAGGTGTGAGAGGGTGATGATGGGTGGTAGGATAGGGGGGATGTAGTATAATAGGCTTGAATTTATAAATTTGAGTACTATCTTAAGCCGAGATAAAAGATCACTAACAATCTAAGAGCATTTTGATGGAATTTTAGACTTCTGCGTTTTAATATCATATAATCTGTATAACAAATTGATTCGGCGAGCCTTCGCGTTAATGTGTACACGGTATCTACAGTTACCAGATAGCCATTGAATTAAATATCTATTTGAACTTCCCCACGAGCCATATCGCCGTTGATAAATGAAGACGAAGTGAGAGCTTGGAATTGAGAAATTGAGGGGATGGCCGGGGAGCTAGAGGGTTATTTGCGGGGTATTCTATCAATCAGTCCCCCCCCTCCAACCGGGTGTGGGAAGAGGTACAAATGAAGTCACCTACCGAGAATAAGCATATTATGCACCAACTTATGGTTTGGCTATGGAATTAGATATCTTGAGAATCACACACGAGAGACGATAAAATTTTTGCAGCAATTCGTACCACACGTGATTGAGTGTTCATTGAAGTGATATTTCATTATATTGATATCATAACCCCTCGTTCATTAACCGCAAGCCTCCCATTCGTCTAAGAACCAACCTGCACACCTCCATTAGGATGCAAACTCTGTCCACTAATAAAACTGCTGTCCGCACTCGCCAAGAATACAAAACAAGTTGCGCATTCTGATGGTTGACCGGGACGACCCATGGGTGATGTAAATTCTTTCTGTGCTTTGTCGTTCATGGTTGCGGGAATAAGAGGGGTCCAGATGGGTCCGGGACAGACGGCGTTGACGCGGATTCCCTTGCTGATTTGTTGGTTGGAGAGAGCGCGGGTGAAGGCTACGATGGCGCCTTTGGTGGAGGTGTAGCTGGGAAGTTGTTAGTGTGGGCTTGAAGAAAGGGGGTGGGAAAACTTACTCGAGAAGATCTGGACGACCGACGTATGGGTTTACGGAAGCGCAGGTGATGATTGTGTCACCGCGGGACATTTGTGGGAGGACATATTTGGAAAGGAAAAAGAATGGGTGAATATTAACATCGAAAGTGTTAATCCATTGCTCTCTATTTTCATCATTAGCATCATGTACATATTTCCTGGATAGGCCGGGAGGTAAAAACATACTCAGATAACTCATCGATAGTCTCCACCATCATCTGAGTACCATGATTCAGGACCAAAATATTGATTCTTCCCATAGCCTCCTTCGCTTTCTCGACTACATTTTTGCAAGCCTGTTGGCTCTTCAAATCTGCAGAGAACAGATGGATCTTTCCTCCCTTAGCTTCAACCAGCTTCTTGGTTTCTTGTGCATCTTTTTCTTCTTCGGGTGTGTAGATGATGGCACTTTCTGCTCCTTCCATAGCATATAAGATGGCGACGGCACGACCAATTCCACTATCTCCACCGGTGATGAAGGCTTTCTTGCCCTTTAGCTTGCCGGCGGCGAGATATGGTTGGTATCCTCCATCGTCGGTGGGGAGTTGGTCGTTGATGGCTTCTTTTGGCATGTCGGTTTGGTGACCTGGAGCGGACGATTGGTGGGATACGGGGGGTTGATGACCTGTAAGATGTTCATGTCAGTATATTGTTGAACTGGTATGGTGGTATGGGTGGTGTGAGGGGTATCAGAAGTTTGTCGAGCCGAACACGAGGGGAATTGGGGATATCTTCATAACGTACCCTGTTCGAAATGACCCTTGCTTGCAGACATATTTGCTTGTCTAAAAGTGTTTAGATGGGTTTGATTGAGGTTGTTGTAGTAAGTATGAGGGTAGAATATGATGGTATCAAAGTGATTGAAGAATGATTGTCTATGGAACAAGAATTCTTTAACCAACTCATGCAGAACTTCATCTTTTCTTATACTCATCAACAGTATGATACACCCCTCTCCCCAAGCTATATGACGATCACCATGCATTCCGCGATCAGAAGAGGGATCAAAAGCTCCGAAACCCTCCATATAAAAAGAGGACGATTGGTTAAGCACATTATGATATCAGTGTTTGGATAGTCATGGAGGGGTAGCTCGTAAAGATTTTCGGTCCTCTCGAGTCGAGATCAATGATGTAAGGAGTTTTAAGGATTGAGAATGGTCTCTCTCATGATGGGTAGAGTGAGGTAAGAATTTAGATGTAGATAGTTCATTGGTTACGACAGACGGAGGGAAGGTTTAAGCTCATCTCACATCGGACTTGTGAGTTTCTACGTAATTGAGGGAGGGGGTCGAGCCGGAAGCATTACCGAGAAGACTTGGCTGATGGGATGAACATCGAGATTGTACAATGCCATGTAAAAGTATAAGAAGAGATGCAGATATCCCGTTATCGTTTGTAGAATATTATGATTATTATGATTATGATTATGATTATGATTATGATTATATTTTGTGAAAAGACGGTCAAGATCTCTCTACTTGATATACCATCCGACTACTTTTTGGCACACATCTTGCACTCTGGCGGGTTTTTGAGGACTTGGCTGCTAAAGGGAGTATCATCAATCACCAATTATCTTCAAAGTTCTTTGCGCTGTTTACTTGTATTTTTGTATCTGCATCCATACCTGCATCGATGTATATCTTGCCTGCCAGTTTCTGTTAGTACAATTGATTGTCACTGCCTGTTCTGTTCCTCTTTCCTCTTTCCTCTTTCCTCTTTCCCCTTTCCCCTTTCTTAACCTTCTTTTCCATCATCTCGCGTCCCCAGGCCCTTCATCCAACATGTTCAGCACCCGCCACAAATATTTCTCTGCACAGCCACCCGCCACAGCCACCCGCCACAACCAACCGACGTCACCTGCATTTTCAATTGGAATGGATCTCCCTAAAATCAAGTTTCCTCTCTCGATCTCTCGATTCTCACCACATTCGAAAAGGCATCAACCATCCTGCCTACTAATAAGTACCTCCACTAGGCAATTCCAACATCATGATTGATTCATGAGCCACAGGACCCTGAAAATTCTTATTAGTAATTACCTACCTAGTACTAGGACAGAAGTACCGTCAGCCAAGACCCTTTCCCCAGCAACTTCCAACCCGCTTACTTCCCATTCGCGTGCTTTTCTTTACTCTCTTCCAAGATGACGTGAAATTGACCAGGACTTGATACCTGTATATTTTCCTTATCAACATGGACAACTTGCTTTGCCGTCATATGTACATCACATAGATGATAACTTCTCCCAATAGGTTGTCACACATTCACCACTTATTGCCAAAATTAAATCGAGATTACAACCCTTTTTCCCAGTTTGAAGTCCCTAAACCCACAATTTCCCTGAATTCAGGAACTCACTCCTACGTTCATCAAACTCTTTGTATAAAGATAGCCGACATGTCCCCTCATGTCTCAATTCCAATTTCAACTCCAATCCCAATCCCATTAGCATCATCTCCACAAACACAAATCGTACCCAGAATTAAAAACGACGACCAATTACCCGATAAAGCCGCACTAAGAACTCTATCTTCCTTTATCAAAACTTATCGAGAGACTTCAAATCAATCTACGACTTCGATACCCATACCGCAAGAATATACACAAGCACAACCGTCACCTCTTGCACAAACCCACGCACTACCCCAAACACCCACCACCACAACACCACCACCAAAGCAAACCCCAACTCTCAAAATGGCCCACACAACCACAACCGTCACCACCAAACCCTCCCTCCTCTCCCGCCTCCGTGGCGCCAAGACCCACCGCCGCACCTACGAAAACACCACCACCCACAGCACCCACCACCGCAAACAACGCACCTGGGGTCGTCGTCGTGCAGGCGTCACCGCCCAACCTGTTCATCACCACCACCGCAAACCAAGCGTCGGTGATAAGATTAGCGGTGCGCTGTTGAAATTGAGAGGTAGTTTGACCAGGAGACCGGGTTTGAAGGTATGATATATCTCTATTTATACATAACTCCACTCTACTCTATTCTACACTACTGCTTTCACAAGGAGTATATACTAACAATAAAACAGGCAGCCGGAACCCGCAGAATGAGAGGAACTGATGGAAAGGGTAGTCATCACACTGTTGCATATTAAGCTACCTTGTCTCTCTAACCTGACATCACATTACATCACATCACATTGTACTATACTATATTATACCCTTTTACCTTTTCGCATGCATGGACGCTTGGATGGATGGATAACTGCAGACATGCATCACGAATTACGAACGATCGATAGTATTGTATGGAGATAAATGGTTACGGCGATACCCAGAGGAGAGCAGGGGAGATTTGAAGTTTTTTGCTGTTAATGAAGTTGAAGTGGACGTTTTAGCGTAGCGAGCGGGACTTTATATCCAAAGGAAGATCAATAAAATATTACATCACTGTGAATCATCGAGCTTATTTGACTGTGAAACGAAATCACACGGGCTGTTGAAAATTATAATATTTGATTCAATATTGAACCCTGATGCTGACTGACATTTATAATCGACATGATATTGGTACATGAGTGTGCTGCATACCCCAAAACTCCGAGTGATATCCCCACATCTATCCATTGCACAGTAAAAAAAAATATTGACATACACATATCGCTTCGGTTCGCTTAAGCGCATAAAACATGAAAGACTCTCTTTGTATACATCCATCCACTGCGAAGACCATCCTCAAATTGTCAAAGACATCTATTTATCATCAAACCATCTACCCCATCCACTCTCTTTTCCCCTCTCAGCCCCTGCACCACCAGCATATTTCTTCTCCTCCTCCTCCCACTTCAACCGCTCGACTCTTGATCTTGCCAAGAAAGCCCTCGCGAATCTCCACGCTTCTGTATCGGCTAAGTTCCAGGCCTCAACAGCCCCCCTAATCTTCAAATCTTCCTTTGCAGTGCTCCCACCAAATGCTTTTGCGTTTGCCAACAAAAGTGCTTCCTTATTCTTATCCTCCTCAGTGGGTATTGGTCCGTCTTGTGGATCGTGAACTGGTTTTGGTCTACGTTCTGGACCTGGGACTGGAGTTTCGGATTTCCCCGTGTCGGTTGCGTTGCGAGGGATAGTGAAGCCGAAATGCCAGTCTAGATCTGAGGGAACTTCCTTCTCGGCTGTGAGCCAGAGGGAATGGGATGTTCCATGAGGACTAGCGACTGCCTCTTTGAATTTAATGATTCGCGGAGTACCAGACACACCTGTACCGAGAAGTTCTTTGGTAAGCGTTGAGAGCCAAGCATCACGAGGAGACTCTCGTCTGATCCACGGAACATCAATACTTTCTCGGAAGCTGGTCAACGTAGACATCGTGTAAGGATGGGGAACAGTTCCGATGGTATAAAGACCTGATGTATTGCGGTAGAAAGCAGGTGTAATAATTGTCATCGGAGACGATGCGACACATGGTTTGCACTTTGGTCGATTTGGAGGGCAAGATGCTGGCATTGGCGAGTCGGGGCATTGCACAAGATATTCAGCAAGTTGTAAAGCTGGTTCAACAACATACGACATATGTTCTGGTTCCGGTTTAACCACGGAGATTCCTTTGGTAAAGATGTTTTGCCATGTTTGATGAAGATGAGATATCATCAGGTTGTTCAATAATTTCATACCCGCTGCTTTGTTCCCTTCATACTCTTTTGCAACTTGGGGATATTTCTCCTCGAGAATTTTGGTTTCGTAAAAAGCTAAGGAGTCATGGGAAGGATCGATTTCGAAAGTATCCGTTGGGACCGCACTAATGAAATCTTTGGCATCTTTCAGACTTGGGTTTGCTAAAGCCGCTTTGACAGCTGCTGTAATATCCGCCTTGGATCCTGCAAAGATACCGCTTCCCATTTTTTCATATCTCGTCAATAATGGATATACTCCTCTTCTCAGATAACTCAGGGTTTGATCTTCGTAAGGACCCATTGGAAGCGTGAGGTAATTGCAAAGTAATCCGGTTCCCATGTTTTCCCATGCCAACCATCTGGCCAAATCTGTTTTCAAGGAATTTTCGACTTCAAGTCGTTGTAATTCGGGATACAATGGATTGTTCATGACTTCCGCAGGACTTAGGATGATGGGTTTAAAGCCTTGCGCCCACCATGCCCTTCTCCAAGTAACCAAGACTGCATTCTCCGCATCTTTCAACTCATTGTCCTTTTCTATTGTATGATCGTAGTACGTATAAATGGTTGGACGTTCAACGAGAGGTGGAAGTAGGGATCGATTTTCGTCTAAAGTCACCGATGATGAAAATGGACTCAACCAATTCCAATTGGCATGCCATTTCGATTCGCCGTATTCACTATTCTTCTGAACCGGTGGAGCATGTGCCGCTTGTCGGAATGGATTGAGGATACTCGGCGAAGGCAATTGTTTAGGAAGTTTGGGTAATGACATGCGATGATCTGTAAATCTGCCGAGCGATGGGCCGGATGGTATCGAGTTGGGTAGAGTAAATACTAATGTAATAACCGCAAAAACTGCGATGGTGCCGAGAAGAACGGCCATTCGACGAGGAGGAACATGAGGTATGGGTGTCCCAAAGAAGGTTCGTTGAACAGGCATTATGAGAAAGGGAATGGAGACCGAAAGAATATCTATGAGATCACAAGACCAATGCTGTCTAGTACCACATTGAAACGTCGAATTATAAGTTTGTACTCGCGAAGATTGATGCAAGCTGTCTTCTATATGAGCTGACGTAAACCGACCGTGTATCAAACGCCAGTACGTACAACAAAGGACTTTGTCCCAATGCTCGACTTTCTTGGGAGGAACGCCTGAGCTGGGATAGATTCACCTGCCAAGGGAGTGAAGTTTGAGGATGTAGAGAAGTTTAGAAGGACGACAATGTGGATGTGGAGAAAGGATCGAAATTGAAATAAAGTATTAAAGTTTGAGACGGGAGATGATGTTTTGACATTCGAATGATTCTAGATAGGAGAAAATAGTATTTACCTTTCCCTCTAGGGTTCCAAGACCAAGTCTATTTTGAGCCACCGACCAATAAATCAAGTGGAACAGAGGGACCCGCAAGAATACAGGGTCACTTCTCATTTGATTGGTTCTATCTAGGAAGGGAAGGGAAGGAAGGGATCAACTTTTCTCCTTTCTCCCGTCTCTTGTCTCCATTTCTTTGGGCGATCTCGGATTTTCTGATGCCAAAGGGTTGATGGTGCGCAACACTCTCAAAGTACCTACCTACCTGCGTACATGTACAAACCACGTGATGGTCCGATGACGGAATATGGGAAGTGGAATCTCATGAGGGCTGATCTTCGGCGGAATTTCTCGGGTATCGTATCAGAGCAAGTGGCAGAAAATTGATGGATTGCATGTGTGTACGGAGTTATGACTCCCAATTCCTCTCTCCATACAATTGAGTTTTTTATAAACACCCCGAAGAAGATCTCTAGATCACTCCGTTCTTCTCTTTTCTCTTCTCTCTTCTCTCTTCTCTCTTTTCTTCAAGACCACTCCCCAATTCATACCCATAACCCTGTCTTCCCACTGTCCGCATACATCGATTGACGTTCTCGTGTTAAAACGTATCGGTGATTCACACTCCCAACAGTATCACGGAAACCTTTCAACGACTGATTCAACTCCCTCAGGGATACGTGGATTCAAATTTACAAAGTTCGAGTTTAGAAACAAAGAAACGGTACTTGGAGCCTGTTTTGATTGGAAGTAGGTAGTTGAAATCCTTCTCAAATCCAAACATTTCAAGCATCATTTCAAATCTTGCTCAACTTGTACCCCTCCAAACCCCACCATCCAAGAAAACCTAACAAACATGGCATCCACAAACTTCGAATTGCCAGATCCAACATCAGACCTTCATTGGTCTGCTTTCCGTGGTGCTATTCAGGATATCTTCACTGCAAATGCTGAAGCGCATCCTGATAGACTGTGTGTGGTGGAAACCGCCTCAGCGACTTCCCCAAGGAGAGAATTCACCTACCGACAAATCAACGAAGCTTCAAATATCCTAGCTCATCATTTGGTGGAGCGTGGAGTTCAACGAAATGAAGTCGTCATGTCATATAGTTACCGTGGTGTGGACTTGGTTGTCACTGTCATGGGTATCTTGAAAGCCGGTGCTATATTCTCAGTCATCGATCCTTCATATCCTCCTGATCGCCAAAACATCTACCTTGATGTTGCAAGACCAAGAGCTTTGGTTGTTATCGACAAAGCTACCAGAGAGGCTGGAGAATTAACAGAGAAAGTGCGCAATTTCATCGCCGAAAATTTGCATTTAAAGACCTACATCCCAGGTCTCGAATTGAAGGACGATGGAACTTTGGTTGGTGGAGATGATCAAGGGAAGGATGTTTTTCAAGGCCAACAATCTTTGAAGGCTAAGAGTCCTGGTGTTGTTGTTGGACCCGACTCTACGCCAACTTTGTCATTCACCTCCGGCTCGGAAGGTCGTCCAAAGGGTGTTCGAGGAAGACATTACTCTCTTGCATATTACTTTGACTGGATGGCTGAGAGATTCGGCTTGTCTAAGAATGACAAGTTCACAATGTTGAGTGGTATTGCTCACGATCCTATTCAAAGAGATATCTTTACACCTCTCTTCCTTGGTGCTCAATTACTGGTTCCATCCAAGGACGATATTCAACATGAAAGATTGGCTGAATGGATGAGAGAGCACGGTGCCACCGTTACTCATTTGACACCCGCAATGGGTCAAATTTTAGTTGGTGGAGCTAGCGCTGAATTTCCAGCTCTTCATCACTCCTTTTTCGTCGGAGATATTCTGATCAAGAGAGATTGTAAGGCGCTTCAGAAATTGGCACCAAGCGTGTTCATTGTGAACATGTATGGAACAACTGAAACACAGCGTGCAGTCAGTTACTACGAGATCCCAAGTCGAGCTTCGGATCCACAATATTTGGAGAACATGGGAAATGTGATCCCAGCGGGTAAGGGAATGAAGGATGTCCAATTACTTATCGTTGATCGCGAAAACCGAAACCGTATCTGTGACATTGGAGAGATTGGCGAGATTTACGTTCGAGCTGCTGGACTCGCTGAAGGTTATCTTGGAAGTGACGAACTTAACAAGGCCAAATTCGTTGACAGTTGGTTCGTTGATAACTCCAAGTGGGTCGAGGAAGATGCAAAGAACGCAAAATCCTTATCTGAAGAACCTTGGAGAGAATTTTATAAGGGTCCAAGAGATCGAATGTATCGATCAGGTGATTTGGGCCGATATACTAAAACTGGAGACGTAGAATGTGTTGGTCGTGCAGATGATCAGGTCAAGATTCGTGGCTTCAGAATCGAACTTGGTGAAATCGACAAATACCTCTCAGATCATGTCATGGTTATGGATAATGTCACATTGGTCAGGAGAAATAAGGATGAAGAACAAACACTTGTCAGCTATATCGTACCTGATATGCAGAAGTGGGCGC